CATCCGCCCCTAAACGCTACAATATTAAGAAATTTGTCAAATTGGTGATCTTTAATTGTATAGTATTTAGAGTGAATGAGGAGGAAATAGGCGTACTGACTTATAAGTCATAGTAATAAGTTTACTATACTGTTTACGATTTCATTGATGCTTCACAATTGTAATATGAAAGTTAAGAAGCTCGCTCACTGTGGATCATTGGATTAGAGATTATTATTTTAGTACAAATTTAATACAGAAAAACGAATGGACAAATGGAATTTAAAGTTCTTAAATAATAAAAATACTTTCTTTAAATAAATATGTTAATAATACATATTGATTCTAAGTACAGAATAAATTTTCTTTTACAATTTTTTTAATATTAAGTTTTTTTTTTAATCATGAAATTTAAGTTTTATTTATGTAAAATATGGGTCTATATCGCAAGCCCGACAACCGAAATACCGTCTATTGAAATCCCGACGTTCGAAATCCCGACTACCATAATCCCGACAATCAAAATCCCGACTGTATTGAAATCCCGACTACCATAATCCCGACAATCGAAATCCCGACAGTGTCTTTTATTATTATAATTTCTATTTTTCGGATACTGAAAAAAATATTTTTAAGACCTAGGTCGATGGCTCTTTTGCCCGATTATTAATTGTTGTTATTTATTCTTAATAACAATAAATAATATTAATTATTATAGTTTTTGTTTTTCGTTGACTTATTCATTATAAAACTTAAGAATAAGAAATATTCTATAATAAAATTAGTTTATGTTCTTAACAATAAATAACGACAATTAATAATCTTAAGTTTTAGATTATCGGGATTTCGATATTGTCGGAATTTTGATGGTCGGGATTATGGTAGTCGGGATTTTGACATAGTCGGGATTTTGACATAGTCGGGATTTCGAACGTCGGGATTTCGATACAATCTGGATTTCGATAGACGGGATTTAGGTTGTCGGGATTGCGATTGCTACCGGTAAAATATAGTTTAATTATTATCTTTAAAATTCATTGGTTATTAATATTTTTTTTATACCTAGTTTAAATACTAAGGACACGGTTGGATGTGTGTGGTCTTAACGCTTGTTACTTAGGGAAATTGTGTTTGTTCAACATCCCAAATTGACAAAACGTACCTCTCACCTATCCAAATATTAACCTTGACGCACATTGCTTTACTTTAGTATGCTGGTGTTCTCAACAAATTTATAGTTGATACTTTACTAATCAATAAACTAAGTTTTTGAGTAAATTTAGTTTACTTAGCTAATTGAACTGTAAATTTTTTTATTTGTCCTATGTCAAAATTATAACTTTTAACATTTAGGGGCGGCAATTTTGCTTCATTTCTTGTGTATTTTCTTATGATGGGTGGTTTAGTAGCCCAGGGGCGCCTAATATCTTGCCCCTGATTATATTCGTTGAATATACGTTTTTATTATAAATATTTATACATATTATATAAGTTTTGGAAACACTGATTTTGAGTTTATTCATATACGCAGCGGCGATTCCTCAGTGTTGAATAAAGTCCAAAGATTATAAATTAATGACACGGTCTACGATAAGGTTGGTGGTTTTTTAGATTAAAGAGATGAACTAGTTTGGATTTACCATTGTTATTATCTGGGAGTTTTATTATTATCTGAATTTTTGTGTAAGCGGTCCCCAAACAAACGCAATAAATTTTTGAATGATTTACGCAGACGGCACTTTTATCACAGCGCCTAAAGCCTCTGCAAACGTTTACTATTTTTTTGGTTCAGAACAAACAAACCTCTACAAAGTGCGTCGTTCGTCTCTGAAAATGTATATTGTTATATAGTTTGTTTTTTTTTAATGATTTTATTTACAACAGTCATTAATAATGTTTAATAATTAAAAATAGACTAAAATTAATTTATTTACTTGCTACTTGTCAAGTAAAATTGGTAATTGTGCTTTTTTTGACAATTTTTGTGTACTAACCATTCCTACATGATAGTTAAAAACAATTAAAATAATAATCTAGATTTATTTGATATTTTGGTAATCAATAAAAAAAAATATAGAAATTATATATAAATAATACAATACAAAAACTTAGTTTTTGGATAACTTTTAGTCAGTTTTAAATCATTTTAATAAGAAATAAAGAACAAAATTTCGTTAAAATTATATTAGTAATTTGATATAATGAAAAAATATTTGAAATAATCTAGGGGACAAGTTTTTATTTTGGGGGTTGAAATTTAAAAAATTGCAAAATTTATTTTTTTGTTAATTTTAATAAAATTCTGATTAATTGAGACTAATTTGAGTAAAATGCAAAAAAGAGTATAACAAAATATTTCTATTACAATTTTTAAATGTATTTAATAAAATTTCATCAATCAAAAATTCAATCGTTTTCAATATTTATAAATCAACAATCAAAATTTCTAAATTGCTTTTTCTAAATCAATTCTTTTTAAATTCATTTTCAACAATTGCATTTAAAAACTGAAAACTAGTTTTTTTAGAACTTAGTTTATATGATTTAGCAATTCTATTTTATTATTCTTGTAGACGTTTTGTTCACTTTTATACTATATCTTATTTTATAATTTGTAAACTGGTTATGAAACGACCGAAAGTATAAAGGTTCCAACAATAACTTTATTAAGTAGGTCAAGTAAAGTAATGCAAAAACTAGTGCACAAATCAATGTAACATTGTTATAAATCTTAAGTAGTTTTCCATATTATGCACGCATTAATTCATACAAATATTTAAACAAAGCAATTTTTAGATAACAAACAATTTTCTTTACACATATTATCTAATAAGCGACAAAAATAATATTTATCCTGCAAACTGTATCCTCGTGTAATTCCATTTTACACTACAAAAGCTTATTCAGAATTTCCCAAACTCCTCTAACAAGCTTAAAGCACATAGGGTTTTGCCACCCTCGTGGACAAATAATATCTGCGATCTGGAATGCGAGATAAGCCTTCATCCCCCATCGGTGACAACAATTAATGGGAAACTACCTGTGCGAAAGCTTAACTTTTCCCAAATCTCGTTCGATCTTTTATTTCCTTTTAACGAGTATTTACATTCTTCTATTCTTTTCTCCACGGGTCCGAGCATAAATAATAAATGCAGTCCTATAGACGGGACTGGCGGGGGGCCGAAATGACCGTAAAATGGACCTGTCAGAGAGATGGTTTTGCCCCCCGCAGTGTCAACCCGAAAAAAAGCAAAGGAGAAGAACTACCTTTGTATATATGTGTGTGTGTATATATCTTTGGGTGACCGAGGCCCGAAATGGCATTCGTTCTTGGCATAGCGAGCTGAATGTATCGGAATTCGAAACTTGGAAACACACGTGCTTCGACAGAGGGAAGAAACACAATTTCGGTTTTAGTGCTCACTTCTTTTTGTTCCTTCCTTGCTCACTGCTCTTGCTGCTCTCTCGGTTCAGTGTTTATTTGCATTCGGGACACGCGATACATCTCCGACAATTGCACTTAATTATGTTTACCTTAAGATCCTGTCTGCTCTGCTTATCAGCTCTACTCAGCTTCAACTGTAAGTATTATCTTTAAGTTTCTATTAAACACATAATCATAGTCGTCAATTGTTCACACAATAGTTTTCATAAAAAATCAAGTAGTATAATCACATATATATTTACATAATCCTTGAAATTGTATTGAATTGAAGTAACTTTTCCAATTCTGAAATAATTATTTCTTCATTTCAATTGTTGCATATTTAGCTTTCTTCTAAAATAATAATTTATAATCGAATACAACTTAGATTCAACTGTTTCTTTAGGAAAAATAATAATTTCTTCATAATATATTGTAATGATAACAATATTATTTCGTTATCTAGTGCAAATAATTGTATTTATTACAAAAAAAATTAATAACAACAAATATAAATTATTTCTGTATTGAAATAATCAGAAATTTCAAAAGTTGACAAATAATTACATTTTGTATAGGTTTTAGATCATTTATAACGATAATTGGACAAATAATAACTATGATAATTGATTTAATGTTGTAATTATTTCTATTAAAGATGTAGTATTTGTCTTTTTCCAAATTAAAACTGGATATAAATTTCACCTTTCCTCCACTAATTGCCGACTACATAATTTGTTGTTTTAGCCCAGAAGTTTCGACTATTTTCAACTGAAAGCTTATTATAGACCGGAAACGTGCATCACCTTTTCTAAAAGCGTTTGAATAATACTCTTAATTGGGCAGACATAATTTGCCCTATAACACCTTTAGACAATTAACAAAAGTAGTAAAACTTGCAGTTTTCGTTAAATTATCAATTTCCGATTAACTAATTTATTCCAATTGAGAATTAATGAAATTAATTGAATTAATTAACAGAGCTCAAGTAGTAATTAAATCTCTTGAGTATAGCAAATATTTTAAAAAAAAGAACCTTTTTTTTGTAGTTGGTTGTGTGAATGAGAAAAAAAAAAGAAGGTTGAAATGCTGTCTGCAGGCCATATTTTCTTTAAGAAACTCGAACCATTTATTGTCGCAATTGTGTGTCCAGGGTTTTGTTGCGTTTTACGGGGCCCTAAAAGTTCTAAAAATATGCAGCGACGTTATTTAAAACACCCGACACCGAACCCCGACTTGATGGTTTGATTTATGCGTTTGTGGGAGGACGGGAAAGTATTTCTGCTAAGCGACACCATCATCCATCCGTCTTTGAGATGGTAACGTGAAACCCCCTCGGCTCCACTAACAAGACAAAACAACTGCTGTTATTAATTTTTTTTTCGAAAAATTTCATTCCATATTTTTATTTATTTTTCATGTGTTTTGTGAGAGCGGAATACGAATTCGACAATTAAAGACTATTTAAATTGTAAAATGATGTTTTTTCTACCTGTGGTGAATTTCGTTAGGGAGAGACGACGTGAGGTCCGAAAAGGGCCCGTATAAATATTAATGATTTTGAGATTAATGTGAGATTTTTTTGTTGTTGTTGTAGATGGTCGAGCTTTCGGTGATGGATCTCAGTGCGAGGTGGTTGCAGCCCGTGTTGCGCTGGAGAATCAAAATACTGTTGTGGACAGCAGCTCCAGGATGTTGTCGGGAACTTGGCTTTCGGAAGGGTGAGTTGATTCTTCTTTGTTTCGGGTTTGAAACGAAACTGGAAATGGATGAGATGGAGAGGCGAAATTTATTCTCCATTATTTTAAAATAGTCCGACGATAAATTCGAGGTAGTAGTAGTAGTAGCGTTTCGGGCCAATCCTTATATGGAAACGTGCTTATCCTGCGGACGGAATAAGCGGGGGGGGTTTGTTTAACATTTTAAATACCGCCTGACGAGCTGAGCAAAAAGCGAACAAAACCGAATAAAGAAGGCAAGAAATAAGTCAACTGTCCGAGGACTTCACTTTCGTGCCGATTTACATAGGAATGCCGCCTCCTCCTCATCCTCTCCATACTCTTCTTCTTCTTCGAACGTCGTCGTCGTCCGTACGCGTATAGATTTTGAGCAGATAAATGAATCTCGTTACGCCTTGTTTATGCTCATTGAACATTTTGTTGCAGATGCGAGAACAGGCCTGGACCGGAATACGTTCTCAGATCGTACACTTTCAAACCGGATGGAAGTTACCGCTTCATCCAGCATCATTACTGGGATGACTCCTGCTCCACGCCGAAGCTCACCATTGTCTCTGTCGGTCTGTTGCGCATGAAGAAGGGATCCATGTTCCACGGTGATTCTTCCGTCGGCTTCATAAGACCCATCAACATCTCCATCATACCGCAAGATATTCGTGCTACCAAAGAACTTGACGATTTGGTTGCTCACGAGTGTCCAGGTAATTAAGTCATCCACTAAACAACTTATTTAGTTCATGCATCATCAAAAATATGATAAATATCATAATTTACAGTTTAATTATACATAATTTATTAAATCTAATATTTATTTTAGATCAAAACTGGAAAGCTTGGAGGAGATACGATGAGCATTTGGTATACGAAAACAACAATTTCTTCAAGCAAACCCATTACCAATCCAGGGAACAGTACACGGGAAACTCGATAAGCGGTCGTCAGATGTCTCAAAGTTCCGGAGACATAAGTTGCCTAGGATCACTAAAATGGGCCTTCAACGAGCTTAAGTTAATCAAGATCCAACTGCGACCAATCTTCATGAATTCCTTGGACAAAAAGAAGCCGAGAAACTACCGCTTCGAACTCCTCCTTGGTGACATACACTCAAGAACGGAGCACCGCGAAAACTACTCTCCAACATCGTACCAACAACCGTTGATCAATCACATCCCCGACGGTTCAATCGTCAATGTTAACAGCAAAAATTACACGATCAAGAATAACTGCAACATTTGCGCAAATTTGTTTTCGAGCAGTAAAACTCCTCCGCATCTCTTCGAGAAACCTCATCTACCACCGTTTATTTGGGGCGAATGGACTTCCACGCGTTGCGAGATTAGACCTATGGGATTGTACTTAACGCGTAAATTCAACTTCTTTATAAGTAATTCCGAATGGGTCGCGGATCATAAATTCTATGATGATCCGTTTTGCACCATACCGAAATTCGTCGCAAGCGTTTCAGGACATTTTTCTCTATCGGCAAAGAACACCGTAATACCTGCAAGCACCAACATCGATTTGATATTGGAGAATGCCAGTTTGATTATACACAGTCGTCGGATGGTGCGTGAGATGAATCTGCTGAAGACTTGCGGTCCGTACAATTGGAAACTGGGGCAAGCTCAGGATCTGAGTTCGACAAGAGGATGCGCACAGTTGGGAATTTTGGTACCTTCTGTGCATTACGACATCGTCAAAGTGGAGATCAATTACGAAGGAAATTGTCTTTTGTATTTGGGACAATTCGATACTGACAATATGCCTACAACAAATGCGGATAGACCTTCCGCTTTCCAAGAGCCTTTGGTTAAGTGCGGAGAAGCTCCCAACTTCATAGGCGAAGAAGACGAGTATTACGACGATTTAATGATGTACAATTCAAGCATTCAAACTCAAAACCTAATACACATATTGATCATGTCTATAGCATTAATTAAACTACTTTAGTTGATATTTCTATCGATAAAAAAAAAACAAAGACTGATTTAACCTTTTCATGTGATTTGTACATATCTCTTCAGTTATATTTATTATTAATATTAAGTGAAGTATTTTCATGTGATTTGTATATAATTCTTTCAATTTAGTATACACTAAGTTAAACTACCTTTAGTAGCGTTTAAATGTAATCCTGTGATCTGTATATAGTCGTAATATCTAAGAATAATGTTTTATTTTTATATTATTTTCTTATACGAAACGGGACAACCATCCAGTGATAGTAAATATCTCATTTGTAAATATTGTACAGTAATTTAGTAATAATAAAACAACAAAACGGAAAATCTCCAGACTGCAAGCGTTTACCATTTTTTTTTTCAACCTCTTATCGTAAACGTGCAAAGTAGCAGTGTTTATTAAGCTTTAAACAAAACTTTCACGAGGCAAATCCTTTTATTATCTTCACTGCAAAAAAGACAAAAATTACCAAAATTAAGCAAATTTATAAGTTAGTGAAAACTGAAACAAATTTAATAAAACGTTAGAATTTATTAATTTAAATCATGCTTTTGCAAAGACTTAATTCGTCAAAAAGCGAAACTTTTTTAAGTTATCCGCGTCTCCAGTGGACAAATGTTTGTAAATAATAAAAATCTTTACGTACGTTTTTAGTTGATCCATGCTCATCTGGATTTGTCTACAAATAAACTGAATTTTCTTGAAATTTCAGTTAATAACGTTTGTTTTTGCATTTTCACTGAACATTAATCGATGATTATAAGCAACAACATTTGTAGATGAATTTTAATTAGTTAGATAAAATCATGCTTCCTGTGTAAACAAAGTCTAAAATACTTTTGTTATTTAGTTAAACTAGCTTAAGTTTAACGAGATAAAAATATATATACATATTAACATATTTTTTTTGTTGTACAAATCTAAATTTAGTTTTATTTAATTTCGCTTTACGTACGCGAATCGGATTTCTATGACAATGTGTTTTTTTTTAAATTTTATTTTCATCTGCTTTAATCCCTTTGTAATCCGTCGGGGAAAAGCGTATAAAATAGTCGCCGTTTCGTTGATGTAGGTGATTTGCTAAATTGTCGTCCAACATCTCAGAATCATGGACGCGATCAATGAGACCCAGGCGAATCCTATGCACGTCACCTTCTCATGGTACGATTACACCTTCTTCTCGATGATGCTGGGTCTGAGCGCACTCATCGGCGTGTACTTCGGCTTCTTCGCTAAGAACAAACAGTCCAGCGCGAATGAGTACTTGCTGGGTGGAAAGGAGATGAAGGTTGTACCAATCGCGATTTCTTTAACGGCAAGGTGAGCGTTTATAAAAAAAATATGTTAGATTAATTAATGGAATTTGTTAATTGTTAATTAACTTTGAATTGTTTGCAGCACGGTTTCTGGAATCACGCTTCTTGCAGTACCAACGGATGTCTACAGATTTGGAGCTACCTACTGGTACTACTCGTTCAGCGCCGTCGCCGTTTATCTCATCACCTACTACGTTTATCTACCAGTCTTCTACAAACTACAATTAACCAGTAGTTACGAATATCTCAAGCTCAGATTCAACGGGAAGATCCGAATTTTAGCCTCTTTCTTATACACCATAGCCAATCTTTTTTATCTGCCAATCGTCATTTACATTCCAGCTTTAGCATTCGCTCAAGGTAATTGAAGACAAATTGTTTATTATTGAAACTTTCAGATACTGAAGTTTACACAAATATTTTAAACTTTTCATAAATTTTGGAAAATTATACAGTTTTTAAAGAAATACACACATTTATATAAGACTAATAGATCATTACAGACACATATATATATATATTTTTACTAATATATTTAATAGTTTTCGCTCAAAATTAAGGAAAAATTAGAAGTAAAAAAAATCATAGACGTATATTTTCAAATTGTGTTATTATAAAAATTTCAGCTACTGAAGTAAACATTCACTACGTAACGCCTTTAGTATGCGGCGTCTGCATTTTCTACACAACAATTGGAGGTTTAAAAGCAGTAGTTTGGACGGATACTCTTCAATTCGTAGTGATGATGGGTTCGATGTTCGCCGTTCTTTACATGGGTATTGCTTCAGTCGGAGGATTCGGCGCGATGTGGGATATTTCAGCGAAAGGTCAACGTGTAACACCAGAGTACAAAGTTAAAAATGCTTAAAAACAAAAAAAAATATTGATTATTTATATTTCAGCTTCACTTTAGATCCAACGGAAAGAGATGGTTTCTTTGCAGTTCTAGTTGGATCAATCTTCGGATGCGCCAGTTACATCTCCATCAGTCAAGGATTCGTCCAGAAATACCTTTCAATGCCAACTAAACAGGACGTCCACAAGTAAGTGCTAAATTTTCTTTTTTTAACTTTATTTTCAATATAGCAACACTTAGTGTGGGTGAAAAAGGTTGAAATTGGACTAATCGAGGAACTAAATACATAAAAATGATCAAAATCGGACTATGCGAGGTATTGCTTAATTTGTCTTTTGGTAATTATTTATCTGTTTTCAGGGCTTTAATGCTGTTTGCTGTGGGAATATTCATTATCATTTCGTCCTCGGTATTAACTGGATTAATTATGTACGCGAAATACGCGGACTGTGATCCGTTTACAGCCAGGAAAATCGTCCAGCACGATCAAATCCTTCCTTATTACGTCATGGATGTAGCCAGCAGTATTCCAGGATTATCTGGTCTATTTCTCTCCGGAATATTCAGTGCTGCTCTTAGGTAAAGTTACAAAATATTATTTGACAAACTTTTTTCTTCTAATCTTTTTATATTTTATAATTACACCAGAAGCGCTGTTTCGTATCTCAATTAATGACAGATGCTGTATTTTTCAAGATTAAGATAATTATAGATAAAACTATCGCATTTACATAACGTCTAATAGTTTTGAGTATTGTATAAAATGTATAAGTAATAATTATATAATACACGTGCATAATATTATTAATGTTCAAAGATCTTGATTGTATTTTTTCAGTACGTTGTCGGCATCAATGAATTGCCTTTCCGGATCGATATACGAAGATTTCATAAGTCCGTTTATGTCTAAGGATATAAGCCAGAAGAGAGTGAGCAACTATTTGAAATTGATAGTCTTCATCATTGGTTTGGTGAGCACGATTTTGGTGTTCGTCGTTGAAAGGATGGGCAGCATCCTTCCGTTCCAGTTCAGTTTGGGAGGGATAACGGCCGGTCCGTTGCTCGGATTGTTTTCACTGGGAATGCTCTTCCCTACAGCAAACTCTAAGGTAAACCTAGTCGATGCAAACCAATTAAGATTGGATGTTTAACAAAGACTAAAAAACACGGATTTACCATTTTAGGGCGCAATGTCCGGCGGAATCGGATCGCTGATCATAATGTCGTTCATTATCCTCGGCTCGCAGATAAACAAGAATAAAGGACTCATATATTACGAGCCGAAGCCACTCTCTATAGATGGATGCAACTCAACAATTACGTCGCCCGCTTTCGAACTGTAAGAGTGAAAGACTTACAACAGTCATGCAAAATTAATTCTTCAATTTAAGGAACACCGCCTCCGAGGATGTCTCCGCTCTCTTCAGGATCACACACTACTATTACGCAGCGATGGGTACGTTGTTGGTGCTGCTAATTGGATTGCCGGTCAGCTATTTCACGAGGAACGAAGAGGACGTCGTCGATCCTGATCTGATAAGTCCCGTTTCCAAATGGATGCTGAAAAAGGAGAAGGGAAAATACTACGATGTCAAAAAGGCACTGAACATCGTTCACAGCGAAAAATGCTAATATCATCAAAACCAAGGCTTTCTCCTCAAAACGAGAAAGGATCACATTTTTTCGTACCTATGGTACTGCTCATCAATTTTTTTTTTTGTTAATTACGCATTTTATAAACGCAATAAACCAATTCGTTTTTAATTGAAATTCAATTACAAACTGACTGTTATAGTTATAACGAAACAATAAAAGAAATATTTGAAATTACATTTTTTCTTGTAATCTCTATTAAATTATATTTTACAACTTCAATTATAACAAATATTTATAACCAAAAATTGTGTTTACTCATTTTTTAAATACTTGATTAAAAATCATGAATCTCTTTTCAATTATTTTTTTTTTCTTGACTTCAATTAACAATTATAACAAAACAATAAAATAGAAACATTGCATTCATAGACCCATTTGTAAATCAATGTATGTCAATGTTAACTTTAACACTTACCCGTTTGTTTCTTCACCTATTAAATAATTCAATTAGCAACAATTAAACAAGTGCGTAGACAAACAACATAAGAAATGCATTGAGCTCAATTTGCAAATAAAATAGAAGAAAATCAGAAGACTTTTCTTTCTATTCGTTTTCTATGAGTTACGTATACAGTAAATCCCCCTATAACACGATACCCTTATAACACGGTATCAATAAATTGTGTTATACAAGATTACTAAATTTCTTATATCGCGATTAACTTTTTTATTTGTTAATGATAAAATTATAAGCATTTTATTATTGCAGCAATTAGTAAATATATCGAAGCTTATATTTAACATTGTCAATTTACGCAAGGAAGCAACAGTTGATTACTTACTTAAAATGTAATTATTGGCTTGGAATAAATGTTGTCAAATAGTGGAAAACTATAAATAATGTGTGTAGCTCATTTCAGTACACAGAACTTCCATTACAAAGGAATCCGTGGGCGCAAATTTAAAATAATTAATTCAAAAACATTGCGGAACAAGATAAGAATAAAAAGCACGCGTCATTTGATTGCAATTCTTCAGAAATTTTCTTTTTTATCGTGTTTGATAAATACGTCGTAACAATTAATTAAGAAAAACTAAAATATTTATGTCATTTTTCTATTTGAATTGATAAGTAAAAATGATCGGACTTTGACCCACTTTGGAGCCAATAACAAAAAAATTGTAAAGAAATAAATACTTAACATTTTAATTACTTATGTTAATGCAAGTTGACGACATTGTGACATTTGTGTGCTGTTTTTTCAACAATCTAATATTTATTGTTGACTATAAAAGTGTTTACGGTTATTAAATTATATAGAAATGTATGTTTGGAGTTGCAAAATGATTGCTTAAAACTTTTATTTCAAAAGCAAAAAAAAAACATATTGTAAATATTAGCAAATATTAATGATAAGAAGTTCAATTAATACTGTAAATAAATAAGGTAATTTTGTCAAATTATAGCTTTAATATGTAAATAAAAAGAATTATAAAAGCTTTTAATAAATATTAGATTTTAATTTGTTAATTACAATACATTATGTTAACGTCATGTGATTAGAATTACGATAGGAATGCACGTTTTCAATACTGATTAGGTCTTCGTAATTACGCAATAATTAAGTAAAAAAGCAAAAATAAGCGAAGAAGTGGCGGAGAGAAGGGAACTAAATACGTTAATTCCAGTTGTTGTTTTCGTGTCTTCGAAGAACATTGCTTTTGTAAGTTAATTTATGCACGTATCATTTTATATTTAGTGGTCGACGAGAAACTTATTAGTTCATAGCTGTGACAACGAGACGAGCTGAAGGAGTTTACACTTACATATTTTTGGGTAAGTTTTTTAATTTATTACAATTATTAATATGTACTTATTTTATATTATAATATCAAAAAATAAGCTATTTTCTTTAATAATTTAGATTATCATGGAGAATACAACAAATCACGTTTTCGAAGTAACTGATCTGAAGTTCTCTTGGACGGATTACAGCTTATTCGCATTAACATTGCTTTCGAGCGCTGCGATTGGCGTATATTTCGGTTTCGTCTCGAGAAAACAGAATACAGCAAAAGATTATTTACTGGGAGGAAAGCAAATGCACCCAATACCAATAGCCTTATCGCTAATATCATGGTAAATCAATCACTTTACTTCAACAAGATTAATAAATCTTCATTTTCAGCAACGTTTCAGGCATCACGATAATGGCCGTTCCTTCAGACGTCTTCAGATTCGGTTTTCAATACTGGTTGAGTGGTTTAGCAATGCAGCTGTGCATCCTCATAGCTTATTACATAACGTTACCAGTCTTCTTCCACCTGGAAATATCCTCAACTTACGAGTATTTGAATATGAGATTCGGTAATCGCATGAGGAATTTGGCTTCAAGTTTGTTCGCTTTAAACATGATTTTGTACCTACCCATAGTAATCTACGCTCCGGCTTTAGCTCTATCTCAAGGTATATTTCAACTGTAATTTTGAAGATCACAGTTTTGATATTGAGTTTTAGTTACTGGATTCCACATACATATAATAACGTTATTGGTTTGCGGCGTTTGCATTTTTTACACGACAATTGGAGGATTGAAAGCTGTAGTCTGGACAGACGCTTTGCAAGGTCTTCTCATGATGATCTCAATTGTAGCTGTCGCCATTGTAGGAACCGTTTCCGTTGGCGGTTTTAAGAAAGTCTTTGATGTAACATCGAAGGCAACTTTACTCGACATGAAGTAACTCACTTAACTTGTGTAAAAGTAATTCTAATGTTTGCATTTCCAGTTACGACGTTGATCCAACTGTGAGAGATACAGTGTGGACTATTCTTATAGGTTCGATTTTCGTTTGGGCCAACATTATTTCTGTGGGTCAAAGCAGCGTGCAAAAGTGCTTGGCTTTACCCACTTTCAAAGAAGTTAAATCGTAAATGAACCAACAATTAATTCTCGATTTGTACCAAAAAAAAAATTTTTTTTTAGAGCTTTCATTATATTCACCATTGGGATTGGTATCATAGTTTACGGTAGCGTTTACATAGGTCTCTTGATTTACACGCAGTACCACGATTGTGACCCATTGAAAACCAAGACAATCAGAGTCCCCGATCAACTTTTACCTTATTACGTTTTGGACGTTGTCGCCAAAGTTCCTGGTTTACCTGGTTTGTTCATTGCTGGCGTCTTCAGCGGAGGTCTCAGGTTAAAAATAATTAAAATTAATCAATTAGTTTTTTATATAATTAAATATGTTTTAGTACTTTATCAGCGGCGATGAACGCTTTATCTTGCACCGTTTACAAGGACTTCATAGCTCCGCACATGTCTAAGGATTATCCTCAGGAAAAAGTTGGAGTTATCCTCAAATGGCTTGTCGTCGTGATCGGTATAATCTGCACAGCCATGGTCTTCGTGGTAGAGCAATTAGGAAGCATTTTACCATTAGTCTTTGGTATTACCAGCATAACTGCAGGACCTTTACTTGGCGTTTTCTTCTTAGGAATGTTGGTCCCAAAAGCTAACAGCAAAGTAAGCTTTTTCCAAAACAATAATTACACAATTAATCCCATAATTTTAAGGGCGCTTTATCCGGTTGTTTATCAGCCTTGGCAGTTTCTTCAGTCACCATAATAGGCTCATATTATTACAAAATGAAATACCGCATGATTTTGGATATAAAACCAACGACGATGGACGAATGCCCAATTTCCAATAATTCAACACTACTAAACCCGTAATTATTAAAATTGTACACTTAAAATCATAGAATTAAACCCTTTTGTTTTAGTCTTTCACAAGAATCGGATTGGGAACCTTTCTACTTATTCCGAATCTCATTTTACTACTACACTTTGCTAGGATTATTGGTCGTTTTTCTCGTGGCGATTCCAGTCAGCAAGTTAACAGAAGATTCTGAACCGAAAGTATCGAAAAAACTAATTAGTCCAATCATTCATTTTCTGATGGACGAAGAGGATGAAAATGAGAATCCTCCTAATTACACAGCGGTCAAAGATGACGTCGAATTGGAAGAATCGAAAGAATTGGATCCGTTTATTAAATGATTATTTACATATATTTTTATTGTTTTAAAATTCTACAGTAAACATTTAAAACAAAAATTACTAGAAACTGTGATTCATGTAACATCAAATTTCGTGACCTATAAACTCAATAGTATTTGACGTAGTGTAAAGTATAATATTTTAATACTTGATCATTTTCACTTGAAATAAATATCTTTTAAACTTTAGTTTGAATATTGAAATACCATATTTACTTATTTCAAGTCTTACAATTTACTTTATTCATTTAATCACAACTTAATTATTATAATAACAACAATGTAATGGATTGGATAAATGCAAAACAAATTAACTAAACATGTAGATTAGTATCGAAGAAATACACGAGTATTTATAAAAGCTGCAGTGCATTGTTCGTTTTGCCATTCATTGAAGTTTCGTATCCAAAGAAAGTATAGTTCATAAATAAACGAGTAATTTTATTCTATTCTATAAATTTTTGATTGAAATGGATAATTTCACCACTGAAGATTTTCACGTAACAAATTCAAAGTTTTCTTGGACTGATTACTCCTTGTTCTTGCTAACTTTGATAGCCAGTACAGCGATAGGAATATATTTCGGTTTCATCTCCAAGAAGAAAAACTCCAATGATTATCTTCTTGGAGGAAAGCAAATGCATCCCTTACCAATCGCTCTTTCCTTAATCTCGTGGTAAGTCCATCATCTCTTAATTACTTTATTTTCCAATTCAATTTATTTCAGCAATGTTTCTGGTATTTCTATTATGGCAGTTCCAGCAGAGGTGTACAGATTTGGAGCTCAATACTGGTTGAACGGATTCGCCATGCAACTGTCCATAGTCGTAGCCTACTACATTACGTTACCTGTCTTTTACAACTTGGGAATATCTTCGATTTACGAATACTTAAATATGAGATTCGGAAGTCGCTTGAGGATTCTGGCTTCCGCTTTGTTTGCTATGCAGATCATACTGTATTTGCCCATAGTAATCTATGTTCCAGCTTTAGCTCTATCTCAAGGTAGACGTGTATCAACAATATTGTAACAAAGACTAGTAATTATTAAGCTTTTAGTGACTGGTTTTAATATAGAAATAATAACTCTTCTGTTGTGCGGAGTTTGCATATTTTACACCACAATTGGCGGATTGAAAGCTGTAGTTTGGACAGATGCTTTACAAGTTATACTCATGATGGTATCGATCATAGCTATAGTTATAATCGGTACGAATTCAATTGGAGGCATCAGCAAAGTATTTGAAGTTACCTCAAAAGAAGGTTTATTATTATTAAAGTAAGTTAATATTCAACAATAGGTGAAGATACAAGCTTAATTTTTTAAATGCATATTGAGTTGCCTAGAACAACAACGACAAAAATATTATTTGAAGATTAAAATTAATTTATAATATTCACAGTTTTGATACAGATCCCACAGTTCGTGATACAGTATGGACAATACTTCTGGGCTCTATTTTCTACTGGGGAAACATAATTTCCGTGGGACAAAGCAGCATACAAAAGTGTTTAGCTTTGCCAAGTTTCAAAGAAGTTAGAACGTAATTTTAATTAATTTATTGAAATATTATTAACATTAAAAGTCTATGATTTTTTAGGGCTTTGATAATATTTGCCATTGGGATTGGCCTCATGATTTATGGAAGCATTTACATAGGTCTTTTGGTTTACACAGAGTATCACGAGTGCGATCCACTAAAAACCAAAACTATCAGAGTTCCGGATCAACTCTTACCTTATTACGTTTTGAATGTTGTTGGTAAAGTGACTGGATTACCTGGCTTGTTCATAGCTGGTGTCTTCAGTGGAGGACTCAGGTATTATTGATGAAATTAATATTTTGTTAAATGGTGATTCTGTAATAAATTCCAGCACATTATCGGCAACAATGAACGCTGTTTCTTGCACAATCTACAAGGATTTTATTGCTTCGCGCTTACCGGAAGGATATCCGGAAGAAAAAGTAAATGTAATCTTGAAATGGATAGTCGTTGTAATCGGTATTATCTGCACGGCAATGGTTTTTGTGGTGGAGCAACTTGGTACTATTCTACCATTAGTTGTTGCTATAACTAGTATAACTGCAGGACCTATAGTTGGAGTTTTCCTCTTGGGTCTGTTAGTACCTAGGGCTAACAGTAAAGTAAGCTTCGAATTTATTTAAAATTTTAAATTATTGTAATCAAATTTTAGGGCGCTTTCGTCGGTTGTCTATCATCCATTATAACATCTTCATTCACAATAATTGGTTCGTATTACTACAAGATCAAATACCCAATAAAATTGCACGTGAAACCAACGTCAATTGATGAATGTTCGATTAACCAAAACGCTACAATAATCAATGAGTAATTCGAAAATCTAATTTATTTTAGATACAAATAAATTTGTTTAATTACAATTTCTAGATTTCTGCAAGAATCAAACCCAGAACCTTTTTATTTATTTAAAATTTCGTTCTACTATTACACTTTAATCGGAGTTTTGGTGGTTTTCCTTGTCGCAATTCCTGTCAGTTGGATTACGAAGAATTCAGAACCGAAAGTAACGAAAGCTTTGATCAGTCCTATTATGCATTGGGCGATTCATGAAGACGTCCAAATGAATCAACAACCACCAACATATGTCTCTGCAACCAACGATGTTGAACTGAAAGAAATCGATTCATTACTTGAATAATAATAATCCGGCTTAGATCAGTCCGGATTAACTTTAGTAAGTTTTGTATAAAAAACAAATTAAACTTTAATTAAATAAAAATAAATTCTAAAAAAAATTGTGCACAAAATGTATTTATTTTTATGCATAATCCCTTAAATCTATAATCAAAACGAACATTTTAAAGTTATGTAAACTGCAGCGAAATGGTAGGTAGTGTATTATAATGACCTTCATAATAATTCTCGAAATTATTCTACAAAGTCACCGTAATTAAAATATGCAATTTCAGTGATTAAAATACTAAGCGTTTAATACTTTAATGAGACTTTTGTTTGGTGTAGTCATTGTACACAATATTGTGACACACTTTAATTAATAATCAAAGAAAAAAACTTAATGAATTTATATATTTATACATAGTAATTGTTAGTAGAACATTAGAATTCATGTTGAACATAAACATTTTTCAAAAGTTTCCACACAACAAATCAGTTCGAAATATTCAAATGAACGCTATTAAAAGCTACAAAGGTTTAAGTGTATAAATTATAAAATTTAAATTAATTAATTTTTATTTAAAGTGTTTAATTGACCTTTGTTAGGAGTAATTCATTAAATTAATAGTACATAAACATTTTTACGTATTTTACAAATTTCCAGATAGAAACTACTGATTGGTTTTTCATGTACTTCAGTTTTCGGATTGACATTAAACAACATGTGCATACACTTGCAAATATCGAATATACCTATTAAATTGAAGAGTAGTTTGTAGTGAAGGTGAGACCAGAAACTCGTAAAGGTAATAAAATTAGTTTTTATTGTATGTAACATTGTGATCTTTATCCTCCTGTAATATTTTTCTAAATGTAAACACATACCTAAATCCCGGACAAATAGTATATAAAGGTTGGATGTTTTTGTATATAGTAGTAATTTCATTAATTTTGTGGAACAGTTGCAGAGAGGATGGATTCGGAAAACGTTACCAGTATTTTGAAAGATGCCATGCACATTACTTTCTCATGGTACGACTATACTTTATTCATTTTGATGCTGGGATTAAGCGCGCTCATTGGGATCTATTTCGCTTACTTCTCCAAGACGAAACAGACCAGCGTCGATGAGTATCTTCTGGGTGGTAAAGAGATGAATATCATCCCTATAGCCATCTCCCTAATTGCAAGGTAATTTTAACAATCACAGATAATAGCTGTAATCTAAATTGTTCATAATCTCTTCATTTATATAGTACAATATCTGGGACAATGCTACTAGCTGTACCATCGGATGTCTACAGATTTGGACCTACTTATTGGTACGTCGTATTGGACGTATTTATAGCTTCTGCAATCACGTACTACGTCTATATACCAGTATTCTACAAACTCCAATTAACCAGTAGCTACGAATACCTGAAGCTGCGTTTCAGCGGGAACATTCGAATACTGGCGTCTTTTCTTTTCACCCTCACGAATTTACTGTTTCTACCGATAGTTATCTACATCCCTGCTCTGGCCTTCTCTCAAGGTAACCATGAATCTACCTATTAAAGATAATCCAGCGCGAAATTCGTCATTGCAGCTACAGCAATTAACGTGCATTACGTAACTCCTCTGGTTTGCGGAGTATGCATCTTCTACACCACAATCGGAGGATTGAAAGCCGTCGTATGGACGGACACTCTTCAATTCTTCATCATGATGGGATCGATGTTCACCGTTCTCTACATGGGATTAAGTTCAGTTGGAGGATTTACCAATGTCTGGGATATTTCTATGAAAGGAGATCGAATTGTTCCTAGGTGCGTTCAACTTTAATTTGAACCAAAGTTTGATATTAATCCATAATTCAAACAGTTTTTCTTTGGATCCAACGGAGAGGGATAGTTTCTTCGCTGTTTTTATTGGTAATATATTCGGAGTAGCTGGTTATATTTCCGTTAGTCAAGGTTACGTACAAAAGTACCTTTCAATGCCAACACAAAACGATGTAAAAAAGTATGTATTTTTTTATACACAATTATGAATAATTATTTCATTCTTCATTAAATCTGTGAAAGATCATCTTTAAATCAATGAGATATAACTAAATTGCAAATTTCAGGGCTCTACTTTTATTCTCAATTGGAACAATGATCATCATCTCCGTGTCAGTATTAACTGGATTAATTATTTACGCAAAATACTGGGACTGCGATCCGCTGAGTTCGGGTAAAATCGCTCAATTGGATCAAATATTACCTTATTACGTGATGGATGTTGCCAGCACAATTCCGGGATTATCCGGACTTTTCCTATCAGGAATTTTCAGCGCCGCTTTAAGGTAATCTTGACCTAAACAAAAATCTAAATGGAATAATTTTTAATACATTTTCCAGCACTTTATCCGCTCTATTGAACTGTCTCTCAGGATCAATCTACGAGGATTTCGTTAGTCCTTTCATGCCCAAAGATATCACTCAATTAAGAATCAGCAACATCTTGAAATTGATTGTTGTTATTGTCGGAGTCGTTTGTACTTTGATGGTGTTTGTCGTGGAGCGAATGGGAAGCATTTTACCTTTACAATTCAGCTTAGTAGGAATCACGTCCGGTCCTCTTTTGGGACTATTCTCTTTGGGAATGCTTTTCCCATTAGCTAACACCAAAGTAACTTACAAAAACAATCAATATTGAATCATTAAATAATTAATTAATTTCCATTTTTTAGGGCGCTTTCATTGGTGGAATTGGTTCTTTGATAATCATGTCTTACATCATACTCACGGCTCAAGTGAACAAAACTAAAGGTCTCATCTACTATGCCACTAAACCAATCTCAGTTGAAGCTTGTAACTCAACAATAATATCATCAGCTTATCAACAGTAAATCAACAGATTTTTAGATATATGAAATCATTAATTGGAGATGTTTCAGGCAAGATTCTAGTGAAGAGGTGTTCGCATTATTCAAGATTAGTCATTATTACTTTACAGCGATGGGAACGCTTTTGGTAATCATAATTGGTTTACCTGTGAGTTGGTTCACTGGTGGAAGAGAGCAAATTGTTGATCCAGATCTGATAAGTCCGGTTTCCAAATGGATGTTGAAAAAGGATTATTACGCTGTGGAAAAGGCTCTCAAGATGGTTCACACCGAGAAATGTTAGTGTGAAAGTATTGACTCTTTTTGTTTTATATCAAAAGCGGAACTTTCTGTATAATAAAATATTGTTTAGTCTAGTCATGAAAAATAATTTGACTACTGTCAAATCCGTGTATGCAATGCAATTTGTGTTTATATTTTTTATCACGAGGATTTCTTAATCAACTACCAGACGATAAAGCTAAGGAATTGATTTCTCAATTTACTATTTTTTATATTATATAATGGTTTTTTTTAATTAAATATTAATAAGATTGAAATTAATTAAATTTAATACAAATTGTTATAAAAATAAATAAAATTTGTAATGAATTTCGTTTAGTTTATTCAATAATAAAACCTAAGTAAGTAGCTTATGATTTATAGTTTCAGCTTAAAATGTCGTACTTTCGTACGAAACAAACAACTTTTTCGGAATCTAATCTAAAACATCGTTGTATTTACACACGTGTGAGCGTATTTTAGTAGAATTAAACCTTACGTAATTCTTTCGTATTATGTCAATTACAAAACAAATTCGAAGTGTTGAGGGAATGAATCAGTGTTGATTTGCTCCTGGGAAGGAAAACATCCAAACCTAGAAAAATACCATGGAGAACTTTACGGATCCTTCGATGGACGACGACCTGAAGTTCAGCTTAATGGATTACTCCCTTTTCGGCCTAATGTTGGCCTCGAGTGCCATGATTGGAGTATACTTTGGATTCTTCAGCAAAAAGCAGAATACGGCTGATGAGTATTTGCTTGGCGGAAAAGACATGAACGTGGTGCCCATAGCTCTTTCCCTGATCGCTTGGTACACTTTCAATAAATTACTTTATTTATCTTTATATTAAACTTATTTGTTTGTAGCAACATTTCTGGAATCACTATATTAGCAGTCCCAGCCGACGTTTACCTCTACGGATATCAATATTGGCTTTGTCCCATTTCCATACAAATCTGCATCATCCTCTTATACTTCGTAACATTCCCAGTCTTCTATAACTTGAAGCTAACGAGCACTTACGAATATTTGAAAATGAGATTCGACAGCAAAATCAGAACTTTTACTTCGTTCCTTTACGCCTTAAACGTCTTTCTTTATTTACCAATAGTGATTTACGTGCCAGCTTTGGCTTTATCTCAAGGTATTAAATTCAATCAATCATTTTTATTACAAACTATTGACAAATATTTTTAGGAACTGGTTTTAACATACATTATATAACGCCTGTCGTCTGTGGCGTATGTATTTTCTATACGACGATTGGAGGACTTAAAGCTGTTGTCTGGACCGACGCTCTTCAAACTGTATTGATGATCGGTTCAACTGTAGTGGTAACATATTTAGGTACAGTCTCTTCGGGTGGTTTCAACGAAATCATGAGGATTTCCGATGATGGAGGAAGATTGGACATGAAGTAATTTTCAGATTTTTACAAAAAAAAAACATCAATAAACACGTAATTTTTTTAGTTTTGATTTGGATCCAACATTACGAGACACCTTTTGGACGATCCTCATTGGTTCGATGTTCGCTTGGGCGCAGATCATCTCGATTAGTCAAGGCACGATCCAAAAATGCTTAGCATTACCTTCATTGCAGAGTGTCAAGAAGTAAAAGAATATAACTCAACTAGTTTATAATCAATTAATCACGTATTTTTTTAGAGCTTTGATCATCTTAGCTATTGGAATGATGGTAGTGAATTTGTGTAGCATCTACACAGGTCTCATGATGTACGCGAAATACAAAGATTGCGATCCATTGAAATCCAAGAAAATCACAGTTCACGACCAAATGCTACCTTATTATATTCTTCACGTGGCTGGGAAGATACCTGGGCTTCCAGGTTTGTTCATCGCCGGAGTCTTCAGCGCTGCTTTAAGGTAAAACTTAAGACAATATTAAAAACTTCAAATATTCTTCACCACTTATTTCAGCTCTCTTTCAGCCTCAATGAATTCATTATCCTGCACGATTTACGAAGATTTCATATCGCAACACATGCCTAAAGATTACCCTCAGGATAGGGTCAGCTACATCCTGAAATGGATCGTCTTTTCCATTGGTTTCATTTGCACGGTTCTCGTTTTCGTCGTCGAGCAATTAGGAAGTATACAACCTTTGGTAGTTAGCATGCAAGGTGTCACTGCTGGTCCGATGCTTGGACTATTCTTAATGGGAATGATGGTACCCATGGCCAACTCGAAAGTAAGAAAACACCCATCAATAACTAATCTTGTAACTAAATATTATTAACTTAGGGCGCTCTTTATGGAGGAGTTGGATCAATCCTGGCAATGGCTTACGTAATCTTCGGATCTCAATACCACAAGATGAACGGAAACGTGGTTTACGAAACGAAACCGGTTTCAGTTGAAGGCTGCTTGCACACCTTCAATTCCACCACGTAAACTTTCCATCTTATTTATTATAATTACGTAATTATATTTTTGTCTACAGTTTTGCAGAGCATGAACCAACTGAAGTGAGCTTCATATACAGATTATCTTTTTATTATTATGTTGTTTTGGGAACGTTTATGGTTTTCCTGATTGGAATTCCTGTGAGTTGGTTCACCAGAGACGATGAACCTCCAGTACACAAAGATTTAATCTGCGGCGTGATGCAATGGGCTATACCAAAAGACAAGAAGCGACCGCCGACCTATTATTCCGTGGAAAAAGCCATAGAAATGGTCGAAAAAAATTAAATATTATTTGTGTTTTAGCAAACTTATTATTAAAATTCAACCTAAATAAATGTTGTTGATTTATAGAGAATTGATTTAGATTACTAATCTACAAATGTGACTAATTTGTAGTATTTGTTGCGCTCATGTTTTTCTATGGATTTCACGAATAAACTTATTTAAATAATTATGTTAGCTTGCAAAATGCAAAGGGTAAACAAACTTAATTTATTGTACAAAACGTGGCCTTATCTAAAACATATTGTAAACATTTACGTTTAACAGATGCAAAAGTAATCTTAATAAGTGTGAATGTAGGTAGCTGCAGTTGCGACATTCAGACACGTCGGAGTAAAAATTTTCCACATCACTCTGATGATTTGCTCAAATTCTTAAGTGCGACTTCTTTGTACTTATTGGTTTCTTTGGGTAAAAGCCAATGCACTAAAGGGCTCAAATACTCTTTACGCGGGATTTTCATATCACCACCTGGAATATAACTAATCACTAATCCCGTAACTATAGTTATTATTGTACCTATAATAGTGTAATAATTATGTGAAATTCGGTAGATAAATAAAGGTGTAAATTGGTTTTCTTGAGAAATCCTAAAAAAAAAGCATCATTTAATAATATTGTTTTATAAATAGTTGATTGTTTTTACTCAATTGGAGACGTTTTATTTTGGAAGAAGTCGCAGCCTTCAACGGATAACGGTTTGGTTTTGATTGTTATGTAACCGTTTTGTTGATAATATTTTGCCCCCAAGAACATCCAAAGGACAATTACGAAAGATGTAACAGCTCCAAATAACGCTCCCTTACAAAATTCAGTTATATACAAACAACAATGTTACAAGTAAACTTACCCTAGAGTTAGCTTTGGTTGAAAACAATGCTAAAATAAATACACCTAACATGGGTCCTCCAGATAAAGCCCCAATACCAATGATAGTTGCTAACAAACTTCTTGCATTCTCTATGACCAAAACTAGTAAAGTTCCTACAGTTCCAACAAGTACAACTATTAATTGTACCAAAGGTTTTCTAAATTTCTCAGAAGCGCCTTCTCGGATTAAATTAAATAAGAAATCTTTGTATATCGTGCAGGATACAGCATTCAGATAGGCGGAAAAAGAACTAAAAAATACAGTTAGAATCAACTCGAAATATGAGAAATAATTTACCTGAAACTAGCGCTGAAAATTGCAACGATAAACAAACCTGCAATTGCAGGAATTTCTTTTGTCACGTGAAGAATGTAATGCATGGAAATCTGATCAAGAACCTTTATTTTTCCTGATCTAAACGGATCGCAGTCTTTGAATTCCTCGTAGATAATCAAACCGAAAAATATGAATAAACTGATCATGATGAAATATCCCAATGAGAACATAATCATCGCGCTGGAAGTAATTATTATATAATTAAATAAGTTTATTATACTGATTCATTTAAATCTTTACATTCGCATTAGTTTAATGTTTTGCGAACAGAAAGTCTTCTGCATAAATGCTTGATTCGTTAATAAATACTGAATCCAGTACGTGGAAGCTCCGAAGCTTATTGTCCAAAAAGTATCGCGTTTAGTTGGATCCAAGTCGAAACTGAAAACATTTACTTACATGAAGAAAACAACTTGATTAATAATTACTCTATTGTCGATCTTCCGCCTTGGTAAGAATAATTCAAGACTTTCTGGATTCCTCCGGAACGTTGCAATCCCAGGTAAACGAATCCAATGCTGGTAAAGATAATGAAGATCATCTGCAAAACGTCGGTCCAGATGACCGTTTTTAAACCGCCAATTGTCGTATAAAAAATGCAGATAACTGAAAAGAATATTGTGAAGTAATGGACATTCAATTTGGTTCCTGCAATCAAAAATTCGGGTAATCTGAGTTGAACTAATATAAAAAAAAATATACCTAGAGACAGACATATAGATGGTACATAAATAATTATAGGTAATATTGTTAATATTCCAACAGTGTAAAGCAATGATGTTAATATCCGAACTCTTCTATCGAATCTCATCTCCATGTATTCGTAGATACTAGTTAACTTCAAGTTATATAAAACTGGATAAACGTAGAAACTAGCAAAGGTTATTGCAAACATTAAACTAATGGAAATAATAAATGTATGTGCTCCAAACGTGTACACGTCTGCTGGAAGAGCGACCAACGCTTGTCCTGATAATATACTAAAATAAAAGAAATATAGTCTAAATTATATTTGTTTTTATTCTTACCTGGCTATTAAAGACATAGTGATAGGTATTACATTCATATGTCTTTTTCCACCAAAATAATCTTCAACGCTTTGCTTTTTCGCAAAAAACCCAAAGTATATACCGATTAAGGTGCTGGTCACCACCAAAACCAAAAAAAGAAAATAATCGCTCCATTTAAATTCCAGGGAATCGACAACAATTTCGTCAGTTACATTCATGTCGACGTACACCATTGAATAACAGAAATATACATTCTCGTTACACGAAACATTGCTGATAACAAAACTAATTAATATTGTAATAAAAAATATTTACATTTGTGTACTAATTATTTCTGCTTTTTTTATTTTATTTATTTTTTTTTAATTAAAAATCCTTATTTCATATACATTTAATCCTCTGTGACATAATTAATTAATTCTATAGATTGGTAAACCGTTGGTTCTACAGGATCATCTTCGAACATCCAATGGACCAAAGGACTGATCAACTCTTTCCTTGGTAAAATCGTTTTATCCTTTGATAAGTAACTGCACCCTAAACCAATGATTACGGTGAGGATAGTTCCAATTAGTATGTAATAATTATAAGTAATCCGGTATAAGAAGAAAGGTTCATATTTATCAGTAGACAAACTGGAAAATAGTAATTTAAACTAATTGACTTCAAAAATAAACTCATTATTTTCTTTTGCCTTATCTGTTCGGTCGTATTGGTAATTATTTCGCATCCGTCGATTAATAATTCCTTCTGCTTGAAACGGATGTAACCAAGCTGTTGGTAATACTGAGCTCCCGCAAATATCCAAATCAATATTCCCAATGTTATTACAACTCCATAAAATGCCCCCTATAATTAATGTATTATAATTCGATTTGGAATCAGTTTGTAGTTTTTATACTTTAGCTTTAGCTTTTACGGTGAACATTCCTAAAAGGAATAAACCCATCATCGGACCTGCAAATAGAGATCCAATACCTATCAAACTAGACATAATACTTCCTGCCTTCTCCACGACGACAACTAAAGCTATCAATAAAATACCAATGGAGATTACAATAGACTTGATAATTACTGAAGAACGCTTCTCCAATTCATTTGCTTTCAGAAAGGAAGATACAAAATCCTTATAGATTGTGCACGAGAGAGAATTTAAACCCGCAGATAATGAACTGAAATATCAACAAAAAAATCTATAACAAAAGCTAAATCAACTAAATTTAAGAATTATTATTACCTGATGCTCGCACTGCAATTTCCGACTATGAAAAATCCCGCGATTCCGGGTAAATTTTCGGTAACGTATAGAATGTAATGTATGGCAATTTGATCGTGAAAATGGATTTCCCCGGACTTTACTGGATCGCAATGTTGGAATTTTGCGTAAATGATCAAACCGAACAGAATGAGCGATTCCATGAAGAGAAAGTACACCACTCCAAAAATGGTCATAGCTCTAGAAAAATAATAATAATATGTAAGTTAGTCAATTTCTGCATTGTTCATAACCAATACTTCTGCATTTTTTTCACATCTGGCAAACAGAAAGCCTTCTGTATGCAATGTTGACTCGTAACTAAGTATTGGTTAAAGAAGAAGGTAAAGCCCAGAGAAATTGTCCAGAAAGTGTCTCGCTTTGTGGGATCCGGGTCAAAACTGAAAATTTTCAACTACTAAAAATTCATATGATAAAATATAGATTTACTCTATGTCCAATCTGCCGCTTTTGGAAGCGGCGTTAAAAACTTCAGCGAAACCGACATCTGTGAATCCCATGATTACAATTCCCACGATTGTGCCAACCATGAACAACAATTGCAGAGCATCCGTCCAGATCACAGCTATCAATCCGCCAATAGTCGTATAAAATATGCAAATTGTTGCGATTGTCGCAGATAAATAATGGATGTTAATCGATGTCCCTGTTTAAATTATTGTATTATTTTATTATTAACGAATTCTATGATTTCTAAAAGAATTTAATTGATTTACCTCTAGAAATGATCAAAGCTGGCGCGTAAATGCTTATGGTTAAGAAAGAAAGCATTCCCATTGCGTACAAGAACGATGTTAATAATCGAATTCTTTTATCGAACCGCATCTCCATGTATTCGTAAATGCTCGTCAAATTGAGATTGTAGAGAACAGGATAGATGTAGTAACTTATGAAACATATGCTAAATTGTACAATAATCGGCATTATAAAAATCGTGGCTCCAAATTTGTAAACGTCGGCGGGTATAGCGATGAAAGAAATTCCCGAGATTATGCTAAAATTGTTGAAGTATAAGAGAAGAAATTCTCGATGAATTAGCTTACCTTGCAGACATCGACATTGCAATTGGGATAAGCTTCATGTTTCTACTACCTCTGAGGTATTGATCGACGGATTGATGTTTCGCAAAGTATCCATAATAAATCCCGATGGCTAAACTGCCAAGCATCATCATGCTGATCAGGATGTAATCGCTCCATTTGAAGTAGACGGAATTCGGTGCACCTCCGTCCATTGCGGTTAAAGCCGAAAAATAAATTGAAGGCACATGTAACTAACAAATGAATATAATATGCAGAATTGCACATAAAAATGATGCGCAGTATTGATAATATATCGTCAATAGAAGTAAAAATTATAATTTGCATTAGCTAATTAACACATTTTCGAAAAGCTGATACTTAAACATATGAACCCAATACTCCAGAAGATTAGTTTGGACATTCCAATGGGTTTCTAAAGTAATAATTTCATTTCATTATATATCGCAGTCTTTCAATAATGTATGGCATCTTGGACTACTGTAAAAAAATAAGAAAATTCTATCATACGCATTCTTTGAAATTGTAAAATCATATATAACAGATAGACTATTCCGGATAAAGTTGAAAGATGATAGTTTCAACCAAGAACCTACTGTCTATCTAATCTGAAAGATTCACGTAAAATTTTCACGATTGATGAAGAAAAAACTACATTCTCGTTATTTGGGACATTGTTGATAACAAAACCAATTAAAATGATAATAGAATATCATAAATTTACATTTGGGAATAGTAATTATTTCTTTATCTTTTTTTAATTTTTTTAATTTACAAATCTTCATTCCACATGCATTTAATCCTCTCTGACAGCATTAATTAATTCGATGGATTGGTAAATTGTCGGTTCTGCAGGATCATGTTTAAACATGAAATGGATCAAAGGACTGATTAACTCCTTTTTCGGTGAAATGGATATATCGTTTGATATATAGCTATAGCCTAAACCGATGACGACGGTGAGGATAGTTCCAATTAGTACGTAATAATTGTACGTAATCCGGTATAAGTAGAAAGGTTCATAATCATCAATAGATAAGCTACAAATAGCAATTTAAACTACAAAAATAAACTCATTATTATTTTTTGCCTTATCTCTTCGGTTGTATTGGTAATTCTTTCGCATCCGTCGATTAACAATTCCTTCTGCATGAAACGGATGTAACCAAGCTGTTGGTAATACTGAGCTCCCGCAAATATCCAAATCAATATCCCCATTGTTATTACAACTCCATAAAATGCTCCCTATAATGATTGTATTGTAATTCGATTAGGAATCAGTTTGTAGTTTTTATACTTTAGCTTTAGCTTTTACGGTGAACATTCCTAAGAGGAATAAACCCATCATCGGACCTGCGAATAGAGATCCAATACCTATCAAACTAGAGATAATACTTCCTGCCTTCTCCACGACGACAACTAAAGCCATCAATAATATACCAATGGAGATTACGATAGACTTGATAATTACAGAAGAACGCTTCTCCAACACATTTGCTTTCAGAGAGGAAGATACAAAATCCTTATAGATTGTGCACGAGAGAGAATTTAAACCTGCAGATAATGAACTGAAATATCAACAAAAAAATAAATAATCTATAACAAAACTTAAATCAACTTTACCAACTAAGCTAACTAAATTTAAGAATTATTATTACCTGATGCTTGCACTGCAATTTCCGACTATGAAAAGTCCCGCGATTCCGGGTAAATTTTCGGTAACGTGTAGAATGTAATGTATGGCAATTTGATCGTGAACATGAATTTCACCGGAACGCACTGGATCGCAATGTTGGAATTTAGCGTAAACGATTAAACCGAACAGAGTGAGAAATTCTATGAAGAGAAAGTACACTACTCCAAAAATGGTCATAGCTCTTCAAAAAGAATATGTAAGTTAATCAATTTCTTCATTGTTAATAACAAATACTTTTGCATTTTCTTCACATCTGACAAACAGAAGGCTTTCTGTATGCAATGTTGACTCGTCATTAAATATTGAGTCCAGTACAAGGTAAAACCCAGAGAAATCGTCCAGAAAGTGTCGCGCTTCGTTGGATCCGGGTCGAAACTGAAAATTTTCAATTATTGTTAATTCATATTTAAAAGAAATATATATAAAATTACTCTATGTCCAATCTTCCGCTTTTGTAAGCGGCACTGAAAACTTCAGCGAATCCGACATCTGTGAATCCCATGACTATAATTCCTATGATTGTGCCAACCATGAACAACAATTGCAGAGCATCCGTCCAGATCACTGCCTTCAATCCGCCAACAGACGTATAAAAGACGCAAATTGTTGTTATTGTAACAGACAAATAATGGACGTTAATCGAAGTCCCTATTTTAATTATTTATTTTCTTTATTAGAGAATCTAAAATATTTTTATTGATTAATACCTCTAGAAATGATCAGAGCTGGAGCGTAAATGCTTATTGTTAAGAAACAGAGCATTGACATTGCGTACAAGAACGATGTTAATAATCGAACCCTTTTATCGAATCGCAACTCCATGTACTCGTAAATGCTAGTCAAATTGAGATTGTAGAGAACAGGGTAGATGTAGAAGCTCATGAAACATATGCTAAACTGTAGAATAATCGGCGTTAGAAATGTCGTGATTCCAAATTTGAAAATTTCGGCAGGTATAGCTATGAAAGAGATACCCGATATTATGCTAAAATTAATAAACTTTAACGAGATGAAACTCTCGATGGATTAGCTCACCTTGCGCACATTGACATTACGATCGGGATAAGATTCATGTTTCTGCTACCCCTGAGGTACTGATCGACGGATTGATGTTTCGCAAAGTATCCATAATAAATCCCGATAGCTAAACTACCTAACATCATTACGGTGATCAGGATGTAATCGCTCCATTTGAAGTACACGGAATTCGGTGAAAGCTCGTCCATTGCAGTTAAAGGCGGAAAACAAATTGAAAACACCTTTTAACTCAAAATGAACACAATATCTGCACAAAAACATGATACGCAGTGTTGATTAAGTATTGTTCAACCGAACCAAATTAACATTTTTCGCGCCATATAATTAGCAAACACATACGATTATTTTTATTTTTTCGTAATGTACATTTCACCAGAACTTTAATTTACGGTGAATTAAAACTGCATTTCCTTTCATCGCACTGTACGTTTTTTTTATTATTATCATTTTTCTTTCGAACATTTTTTTGCAATTTTATATTTGATCATGAATTACAGCCAAACGAAAGAAACCACGTTGCATTCACCAACCATCCAACTTTCATATGCATTTTTTGGATCCATTCTATCTATTAAAGTTTCTAAGAAAAACTCTAAAGTGTTAAAAGTTGTGTACTTTTTCAAGCGACAATTTTTGTATAATTTCATATTTGAGCACAAACAGATGATAACACATCAATGTTTGAATATACGTTGCATTCCCTTACTAGCAAACTTTCAAGTGCATCTTTTCGATCAATCTATCTATAAGATTTTCTAATAAAATCGATTCGATTTACGCCGATTCACAATAACGCCGCTGCCAAATAACGCTTATTAATTGCTGATTTTACACTTATATAGAACTAAACCCTATAGTTACCTCACTGTAAATAATGGTTCATTTTACGCCGATTCGATTTGCGACGGCTTTTGTAGTAACTGATTTTTCGAGCGTTATTTTTTGTGTAATTTAGTTACAGTCAAACTAATGATACCACAGCTATGTTTGAATACACGAAACATTCCCCAACTATCAAACTTTCAAATGCATATTTTGGATTAATCTATCTATTAAAGTTTCTAAGAAAATCACTGAAATGAAAAGACAATGATTTTTCGAGCGTTATTTTTTTGTAATTTTGTTACGGCCAAACGGATCACAGCTATGTTTGAATACACGTTGCATTCCCCAATTATTAAACTTTCAAATGCATGTTTAGGATCAATCTATCTATTAGATTTTCTAAGAAAATCACTAAAATAAAAAGACAATGACTTTTCGAGCGTTATTTTTTTTGTAATTTTGTTACAATCAAACGAATGATACCACAACTATGTATGAATACACGTTGCATTCCCCAACTATCAAACTTTAAAATGCATGTTTAAGATCAATCTAACTATTAGAGTTTCTAAGAAAATCACTAAAATGTAATGACAATGACTTTTCGAGCGTTATTTTTTTTGTAACTTTGTTACGGTCAAAGGGATGATATCACAACTATATATGAATACACGATACATTCCCCAACTATCAAATTTTCAAATGCACCTTTTGGATCCATTCTATCTAATACAGTTTCTAAGAAAATCACTAAAATGTAAAGACAATGATTTTTCGAACGTTATTTTTTTGTAATTTTGTTACAGCCAAACGGATGATACCACAACTATGTATGAATACACGTTGCATTCCCCAACTATCAAACTTTCAAATGCATGTTTAGGATCAATCTATCTATTAGAGTTTCTAAGAAAATCACTAAAATGTAAAGACAATGATTTTTCGAGCGTTACTTTTTTGTAATTTTTTTACAGTCAAATGGATGATACCACAGCTATGTTTAATACACGATGCATTCCCCAACTATCAAACTTTCAAATGCATATTTTGGATCCATTCTATCTAATTACAGTTTCTAAGAAAATCACTAAAATGTAAAACAATGATTTTTCGAGCG